CCTGGCGCACGTGCAGCTGCGCGGGTCTGGCACGCGGCGCCGGGCGCTGGGCTCGCTCCTCCATTCATTTATTTTAAGGGCTCAGGGTAACGAGAGATTGGTCACAGTTGCTGTGCCCGGGAAGAGCTGTTTATGTCCGGTGGCATAATTCATCCTCCATTATTAATGTGATCAGCGCATTTTTTTTCAGAGGACTACTGTGTAGAGATTCGTTTTGGCTGGCGTTGGGTTGGCACAGGTGGTACCACCTGCTAGGCCTGTTTTAGGAGTTGGTAAGACTCCAGACAGTCTCAATCGCTTAATAATTTACCCCTTTTTTTTTATGGAGCAGCAAAAATGGATTTGAGTATCTTCAGATGCTTTTGATATGTATTACTTTCAAAAATAACTTTTTAAAATTAACATTTTATATACAGTTAATGTTATCTCAGAAGAGGTATGTTTAAATTAAGTATCAGAAGAGATCTAGCACAACATTTATTCATGTGTGTTTATTAACAACATAATTTTGTGTTGTATTAACACTCTTTTTACACTGCAGTATATTAGCATGCCACTGTGTAGCATGGATATAAGTTGCACTGGAGTTGATAGGATTTGAGCTGGTGCTTAAGTGTTCTCCTGAATTACAATAAAAATATGCAGTAGAGCATTCACGAATAGTTCAGGATAGTGATGTCACTTTTCTGTTGTAGGTATGACATATATTTAGCAGAATCCAGATCAAAATTACAATTTTACCACCTCTCACCACTGTGTCAGTCCACTTAATGTTTCATTCGTGGACTCTGTTCTTCAAGGCATGAGATCTCTGGGGACACAGACTTCCCGTTTGCTTTGTGCTTGTTCAGTGCCTTGCCCTGTAAGTTTGCTGTTCGGTGGCTCCTGGCCCGCTTTGTCTCCCATCTCCTGGTGCTCATGTTTGGTCAGCATCCTCTGGGGAGCAAACGTGCCCTGTGCCTTTCTTTGCAGAGTACTCTGTGTTTTCCCCATAGATACCAGTGTCTGGCCTTCAGAATCCATGTCCAAGACTGCAGTGAATATTTTATTCAAAACAAAGATTAAAATTAAGCAGAAGTGATTTTATGGGTTGCTATGCTGCATTTCCAGATCTCTGCTAGTGGCAGTATCTCCTAGTGAGCATCTTTTTACATGGGTGCCTTGCTATAACTTCAGTCTGCTGCACTTTTACGTAAAGTGCTGTCTTTCATTACTTAGGCATATTTTACAGTAATTCGCTCTTAACTACAGTTAGTCCAGACTTGCTCCCTGATCTTATTTATTAATCTCACAGAAAATCCTTATGCATTCTGTGCTGCATGCTCAGCAGTCAAATCTATACGTACTCTCATAACACTCTATTCAAGCGCAATTAAAACAAACAAGTAAGGATTTCTGTTAGACTACTCATAATGGAACTGATGGCTCTTCTCCATGGAAAACTGTCGTAATCTGCTGGAAGAATGATTGTATGTGTGACTTCATGGGTAAAGAGAGAGGTGATCTGACCATTATGGAATATAATGAGCTTGAAAAGCCTTTAAAATAGAAGGGTGACCAAGAAATAGGAGTTAGTCTTGTTCAGTCGCTTTAGTGGAGTGACCCAAATCCGATTCCAGGTTGTGAGTTCCTCAGATTACAGTAGACCATCCCCTACTCTCTCTGTCCTTCTTTAGGTGAGTAGGGAGATGTGTTAATGAGGAAAAGAACAGGAGAACCAAAAAGGGGATACAGGAGTCTCTGTCTTCTTCAGTCCTTTATTCAGCATCACTTTGTTCACATTTTTTATATCCTCCAAAGGGGATGAGGGGAGAAGAAAACCCAGCTGCTAATGGAGCCGAACTAACTCTTTACCTGACTAAAAATAATAATTTAAAAAAGACATTTTTATAAGGCTCTTCTCTCTTTAGAGATACCAGTTGTGCATTTGAACTATACTTCATTCTTGTACCAGTCTTGTATAGTATTTTAGTATAAATTATTCTTGACTACAGGAATATAATCAGGGAAATATCACTGAAGTGGCAGCTAGATCTTCGAACTTCCTGCCTTTTCTGTGACTTTTTAAATATTTAAACATGAGTGAAGAATTTTATTTTGAAGTATTTGGATTTTTAAAGATGAAAAATTCTTAAAGCATTTTCAGTTCTCTTTATGGCTGTTCCTGGAGTCAATCAGTAATAACTGTCAGCTGACATGATTTGAGTGTGTTTTTGTAATTCCATATCTGGAAGGGAGCTTTCATATCTGCTAATGATCTGATGAGCTGCTTATTGCCAAAATTTCCCCTCCGTGCTGTATTTTCCCTTACCCTTGAACATCTCGTCTTCTCATTATCGTATCTGTGCTTTAATTGTCATTGCTTGCTCTTTTTCTCCTCCTTCACATTTAAATGCACATTTGGTAGTTGACATAATCTGGATAGCTTTTATGTAACATTTAGTAATGAGATACCATCTGATTTCATAGACTTCCCTTCACATTTTAAATACTTAAAATGCTTTGGGTTTGTAAATGTCTGAAAAGAGCTACCAGAAGCAGTCAAACAATATTTTTCCTCTTTTGTTATTCTCTCTGGTTACAATGAGGAGACATTAGCCAGCAGTAGTAGTCCAGTTGTCCATTTTTTCTGCTGATGCTGTGGATGACACCAGACGACCTCATAACCTACCTAATGACTAGGATGACCAAGAAGAATATAAGATTGTTTTCTGATGATTGTAATCTCTGCATTCTGTCTCTTGAAGGAACATGGGCAACCATTGACCCAGAACAAATTTTAAATATCTTAACTAAATTATTTTTAAGAATTATTTTAACTAATTCCTAATATGTTGCAACAGGGTGACTGAGTTTTGGTATGTTAGTGAACTCTGTTTATGTGCACACACATGCTTTTCTGAATTTGGGTTATAGCCAATATCTTGACTGTATTATTAACTTTTTAAGGAATCTGTTTCTCAAAAGGGAAAAAAAAAGGTTTACTCAATGAGTTTTGCAGATATGTAGTTTCACTGTGCTGCTACTTCTGGCTGATCTGAGTCCCAGCTCAAAATCTCTGTGGAGAAATGCCTCTTAGCAGGTTTTCCTTCGCTCATTTATGCTTCTTATAGTGTCGTGCTTATACTCTACTGTTTTCTACGTCTTGTTACCATTTGAGGTCTTTTTATGGAAGAGAAAAGTTACAATATTGTGCATTGATCACAAGATGTGACTCTGAAAAACACCTATAGGTATGGTATCGATTCACCTGGTTGATTTAATGAGCTAAATAGAAAGATTTTGTGCACTACTTATTGCTGTTTGGTGCACATCAAAACTAAGCCTCAGTCATTCAGTTCAGCACTTCTAAGCAGGCTACTCATAAAAATAAAATCACGGATATATTTGAGTGTTTCCAGTTGTAATTTAAGTGTTTCCTAATGCAGTTTTTCTCACCGCATCAGAGTAACCTGGGTGAAAATGTCAAACATACCATACTGTTGTTTGTTCTCTTGTTTTGGGCTTTGTTCATAACTGCTTGTTTTAGGACTTTCTTTTTATATAATGGTACCCAGTATCGTAATCATCTATTTTTCTTGGAAGACGAGGACTATGTATTTCACACTAGGGTACCTCTTCATTTTAGGGGCAAATATATATATGTTCGTCTTAATTTTGGCATTTTAACTACACAAAATTCACAGCGCATTTACATCTCTGCCTACCTCGCATGCCTTTCAGTAAGCATTTTCATTACACAATCAGAAAGCACTGGGTCGTTAGCTGTTCAATTTACATACCTTTAAGAGTAGCAGACAAAGAAGTGGAAATTTTTCATTCATAGCTACTGAATCATTGGATGACACAATATATTTTCTTCCACTTGAATCTCATAAACCACTTCTTGAGTAGCAGGAAGAGTAATTGCTTCAGGAAGAGTTTATTACTGGATGTTTAACCACAATAAAATTTTATGAGCTTTATGATGCATTATCAAGTTCTGTAGGAGGCAAAAATGTTTTGAGTTTCTGAGTTTGAAAGTTTGCTCAGTCAAACCCTCTGCCAGTTGTCCCTGTAACTGGAATTGTCTTGGTGTCCCTGAGTACCTTCTGAAAAAAGAACTACAGAAATCATGAGCATTGGGTGCCTGCCTTATTTGTCAATGATGAGTGCACAGATAGTTTTCAGATAAGGCATCTTCCAACCAAAAAATGGATAGATTTTATTCAGAATTATTAGAGAAGTTAGCCATAGGGTAAGATTAATGATAAGAAGATTTGGAGGAAGTTGTAAGAAACTGGGGAGAAAAATTTGGAAAGAAAAAGTCAGTGTGGTTTTGTGACATGGTATAAAAAAGCAGATTGGTATACAAGGTGGAGTAATAAGAAAAAATCATTAGAACCCATGTTATCCTTTCTTGGTAGCTCTGCACATAATCTCCCTTCCAGTTTCACCCTTTCTCTTGCTGCAGGCATCACTCAGCCTCCAGTTTGGTTGAGGGAAAGTACGTGAGCACATGCCAAGCCATCAGGGTCAATTTCTAATTCTCACACTTTCTGAAATTTATTTTTTGTGGACCTTTTCCTCCTTTAGTGCTTTCTCCAGACATTTGAGTGTAGAAGTGCTCTTTTTTTCCACCACATTATTTTCCTCTATATACCCATTTGTGGTTAAAAGCTGGTCAGTAACCTGGAAATGAAGTCACCAGGGTTATTTCAAAGGACAGAATTTTGGAGCAGAAAGGAAATAGAGTTTGTCCCTTGAGGCCTTTCAGATATTCATAGAAATTAAAGGAGAGTCAATTGTCTATGATTTTATTTCCTTTGCTATTTTACAGGGGAATCAAGGAAAAAAAACCCGGTCTCAAGTTTGAAGATGGGGATGTATTTTACATAGTATCTGCAGAGTTGGTTTTAAACTGCTCGATGTCAAAAATAAGTACTTCTGTAGATGTTTTTGCTTTTTCTTTTTCTGCATTTGTGGTTTCTTACCACAAAATCAATCTTTCTTTTCTCTAGGGCTTTGTTAGGATGTTTAGCATTGGTTACCTGATCCAGTGTTGCCTTCGGATTCCATCCACCTTCCGGCATCTGTTTACAGAGCCATCCCGGCTACTTTCCCTCTTCTACAACAAGGAAAATTTCCAGCTTGGAGCTTTTCTGGGATCTTTCGTCAGTATATACAAAGTAAGCTTATAACATACAGAAATGACAAATGCCATGGGTTTTATTTCACTTTTCAGAATATCATGAAGAGCTATAAAGTCTAGCCACTTAATATTACTGATACTATTTGCTACAGCATGTCACCGACAAATTCTTTAATATTGCAGTAATCAAATTGTAAATAGAAAACTAGTCTTCCATTCCATGTGTTTTTGCTATCATTTCTGAATAAACCAGATGGATTTTGCAGCATGGTATCAAGGTCAGGAGATGGGGAGTACTTCAGAGAAAGTGAATTCAGATTTCAAAGGGACTTGCTGTTACACAAAAACATTTTAGTACAGACACAAGTAGTGACTGCAGTAGCAGCAGTGTTGCCAGAGAGAAGCCATTTGCAGATTTTTTTGGCTCAAATATCTGGAATTCTTACTGGATGCTAAATAGCAGAAGATTGCAGAACATATATCATGTGCAGCTGAGACATTGCACTTACCGCTTGGAAATCTACCCTTCTACACCATTATAAAATGACAGATTGCGAACTGATATGCGTTCATAAGCATTGTTGGAATTAATCGAGTTATGTTTATTTATGCCAAAAGAGAACATGACGAAGCACACGCCCTAAGGGAGAATATATTGCATAGTGCAGTGCTGAAGTGGTTTTTGCGCTTTTATATTGTTAATCACACGTCATTTTTCAACTGCCACTTTACTTGCTCTGCAAAGTTAAGATAATCCTGTATTATTCAGGGTAAATATTACTTACTGAAAATTTGAAAAACGAGTGTTATTTCTAAGCAAAACAGCAATTTCACTTGACTTGCAGTCAGATTGAGAGGCAAGAATTTGTAAGGTTACAGAGTTTAAAATTTTTGATGGCAAAGTGCAAATGGGTTTTTCAGAGTTTATTTGAAAATTAAATTTTTGCTCAAAATTTAAGAAAAGAGCCGCTAGAGAAAAAAGTATTTAAATTGCAAAAGCTGAAATGATTTTGATGTCTTTTAAAAGCTCCAATTTCAAAGTGTAACTTAGTTCTATAGATACTCATTTTAAAAGGGTGACATACTCTGACCGTTATTTATAGTTTATTAAGTATGTACTTGGCACTGATGAGGCTACACCTGAAGACATTGAGGTGCTGGAGCGTGTTCAGAGAAGGGCAACAAAGCTGGTGAAGGGTCTGGAGCACAGGCCTTATGAGGAGCGGCTGAGGGAACTGGGGTTGTTTAGCCTGGAGAAGAGGAGGCTGAGGGGAGACCTTATCGCTGTCTACAACTCCCTGAAAGGAGGTTGTAGTGAGGTGGGTGTTGGTCTCTTCTCCCAAGCAACGATAGGACGAGAGGAAACAATCTCAAGTTGTGCCAGGGGAGGTTTAGATTGGGTATTAGGAAAAATTTCTTCATGGAAAGGTTAGTCAAGCATTGGAACAGGCTGCTCAGGGAAGTTGAGTCCCCATCCCTGGAGGTGTTTAAAAGATGTGTAGATGTGGTGCTTAGGGACATGGTTTAGTGGTGGACTCGACAGTGTTAGGCTAGGTTGGACTTGATGATCTTAAACGTCTTTTCCAACCTAAATGATTCTATGATTCTGTGATTCTCCTTTCTTTTATTGTTTGCATTCCGTAACTTACACTGGTTTAGGTTGCATTATATTTTTCTTCCAGTTTGAAATAAGCCTGTAGGGCAGCAAAGATTCTAGTCACTCCAAAAAATCAGACCACAGCTAAAAAAAATGAAATGCTTGATGTATTTTGAACCCAAAGGAATTTCATTATGGACTGCTTTTAAAAAAAGTCCATCTTGTCCCTAAAAGCAGTTTAAAGTGCCATTGTGGGATTGTAGTAGCTGTACTATTAGTATTTTGTGTTCCCATTACTGTTAATTAATGTCAGCAAACATGGTTTTGCAGTAAATATGTTGGTCATGGTAACCTGGTTTTCTTTTTTAAATTATTTTACAAGTTTGAGTAGGAAACTCGACTGTCATAATAGCAATGTATCAATGACTTTGCAAGGAATTTATTTATTTAAAATGTGCACTGTAAAATAACTAGTGAGATCACATCTGTGGTACTGTGACAATTTTTGGACACAGCTATTACTTCCTTTCTTCTTTTAATTTTAATGTCTTTTTCAAGAGTGGGCTCACCTGAGGGCCACCAAGATGATTTGAGGACTGGGTCATATGATGTGCAAGGAGAAGGTTGGAGAACTGGGTTTTAAGCTAGAGAAAAAAGGCTCAGGGGAGATTTTATTGCTACCTACACCTCTTGGAGGTGTGCAGTGATAGGATGAAAGGCAATGGATACAAGCTGAAATACAGGAGATTCCAAAGAAATATAAGGAAATACGTTTACCTGTGAAAGTGGCCAAATATTGGAACAGGTTGCCCAGTTAGGCTGTGTAGTCTCCATCCTTGGAGATGCTCAGAACTCAACTGGACAAACTCCTGAGCTACCTGCTTTAATTAGACCTGCTTCAGGGTGGACCAGATGATCTACAGAGGTCCCTTCCAACATAAATCGTTCTTCGATTCCATGAAGAGCACACATTAGATGGATTAAGAGGCTGACACACATATCTCAAAGTAGACATCGGCTGTCATACTGAATTATATAATGTTCTCTTGGTGCCATCAGCACTGGATTGAGCCTTATTATTGGGCACTTATTGGGCCTAATATATTTTAATGCAGCCTAAGCCACAACTACTTACATCCCTTCTGGCCTGAACAGCTGTGTATTGTTGTCTGTGTCAACAAACAGGTTATTAGGCATTTTGCTGTGTCTTTTAATCATATGCAATTCTACCTTTTTAGGTTAATGCGTTTTCCTGGTTCCAGGATTTAACTGGATGTATGGAACAATCTCAAGGTGTTTGGTGTGTAGCTGAAAACAGACTTTATCATGAGAAAGAGTCTAGACAACTACAGCAAATGAAGATGATATGAATTCAAGATTAGCTTTGGAATTAGATTGGTATTCAAATTAGATTGATCTGCTCTCTGATTTTGAAAGATGGTAGCAGTAAACTCTTAACACTGAAATGTTTCAGGTACTGTGGATTATGGGTATTATCACACTACCGTCTTAATTCATACTGTGTGCTATATTACCAGCTTATAGAGGAATATCTCCAGTCTGTGCATTATGAAGAAGAAATAACTAGGGCTAAACCTGCTCTCTGTTTACCTACAGGGTACTAGTTGCTTCCTGCGTTGGGTACGAAACCTAGATGATGAGCTTCATGCACTTGTAGCTGGTAAGTCCATGACAAGAAGTCTATATTGCCTCTGTTGGGACTCTGCAAATACTTCTCTCGTCTGTGCTCCCAGTCCCTTTTCAGACTTCCCGTGATGAAAATAGGACTGTTTGCATCAAGGTTGTGTCAAAGTGACAGTGATGTTTCAAGTAGCTTAAAATAAAGAGTTGCAATTAAAATTGTAAGGCAAATTCAATCAAATGGTGTGTTTTTTATGGTCAGCTTCAAGGACAATGTATTATTGTATGCACAAATGTGAACTTGTCCTTTATTTTCCAACTGTAGAGATGTGAGGTTCAAATACTGACTCTTCCATACGTGACAGAATACACATTTGAAAGGATGGGCTCCATTGGATCCAAAGAAGGACCCTTTTGCCATGAAATTTGTGTGGTGGTGCAGGCCCTTCCCTGCTGTTTATGCACCTATCAAGTATTGGAACCTCAGAGGTCTCTCTTTCTTGTGGGATGAGAGAAGAAATCTGGTGCTGTGCTCCTGAGCACTGAACTACAGATTTATTTCAGGGTTTCAAAAGTCTCTTTTTTTAACGACATCAACTGTATTTTGATGGGCAGTACAGGAACATCACTGAACTTCATTGTAGCAACAGAAAGCATAATCTTACGCAGTGTCTGTTGAGCTGACATACTGCAACAGCAGCAATAAATCACAATCCTAACAGTACTTTCGTTTTCTAATTGTTACAGGGTGTCTAGCAGGAATTTCTATGATGTTTTACAAAAGTACTACTATCTCTATGTATCTGGTGTCCAAACTAGTAGAGGTAAGATATTACCCTCCTAACAGAGTTCTTCATTTCACCTATTTTTTTCAAGGCAGAAAAAGAAAATGAACTTCACAGGCTTTGTCCGACAATTCCAGTATAATACGAAGTTTGTGTGGCGGTGGTGTGTTTCAGTACGTGCGTGCCAAGAGGCAGTGCCGTTCTGTGGTCTCATTTTTTCTTATTTTCTTTCCTGTGACTCATTTTAAAAGTCCTTTATCCACTGGTCCCCATGTATATTCTCCATTAATTTTTTTAATCTCCTGGTAGCCCTTTGCTTTGTAGCTTTTGCAGATTTTTTTAAAATCTGAAAGTTCCAAGAATGTGTGTTCTGCCAGAAACATAAATCAGACCTAGTCCTTAATTGCAGATTTATTGCCAAAAGCTACAGCTTAACTTCCTGCCTTTGTTCCCTAATTTTGGCATTCAGCAATCTAAGATAACTCAAAATAGCTTAGTTTTTAGTCTATAGCTGGAGTTGTTTGTCAGTATACTTCAACTGATTGAATTCCCAGCTTTGCAATGAACTTCATTCTAATTACTGTTTTTCAGGCTTGAAATATTTCTGTGAACTCATTAAAATTAGGATCCCAGGGCAAAAAAAAAGTTTGTAGAGTTTGGGTATGTTGATTATACTTTGCTAACCAGCTTTTGATTTCTTACTGTGATTTTTCCATAAAATCGGGAATTAGTCATGGTTATTTCCCCAACAGCACCGCTGGAATAAGTTGAGAGCGTTCTCTTATTATGCATCATCCCCAAATCATAAAGCTTTCTCCTGCAGACCTCAAGGGCCTCATTCCCTAGTGGTATTTATCAACCTCCATTACCAGAGCAGAATTCGTTTCAAAGAATATAAAAAGAAGGAGCTTTTTTTTTTTTAAAGCATAAAATTAAACATAAAAAGGGAAGATATACGCTATTTATTCTTGCTCTTTTTAATCCTAGATCAAACTCTGAAGGTAGTTCACGTATTGGTTATATAAAAGCAAATCTGTGTTATCCATATTGACTTTTAGAACACCAGTTGTAAAAAACCAATATTATCTTGTATTGCTGATGGTTTTCTCTGGACTTTGAGACATTGTGGCTGCAGTGAAATAAGGAAAGTGCTGTGGGTTCTTTCTTTCTTGCGTGAAGGGTCGTGTGGTCTTTTTTTTTTTTTTTTTTTTTTTTTTTTTTTACTACTTTTATCATCTTAGGCAAGCCAAGGGTAACTGACCAAAGAGGCGTGTGCTGCTTTGGAAGGTCATGCTGTGCTCAGGAAAATAAACTTTACATGTTTTCTCAGAACGAAAAGTATGTGATTTCAAGCTGTTTAAGAACAGTGAATATTCACTTTGTTGGAATAGTTACTGCATTGTTCTTTTGCTTTTTTAAAATGAAGAATTTAACATAGCAGACTTCCTTTTTTATCTTTAAGATCTGTACTACCCTTTTAACACCCAAGCTGTTGTTAGGTCCTGCTCTATACATTAAAAGCCTCTTATTCTATTGATCTTGGATAACTTCTATAAGCTATCTCAATCAGTGTCACATTTGTGGACATATACAAAAATACGTGAGCATCGGTTAGTAATGTTGACATGTTACTGTGAAAAGGTAAAATAAATAAAAATTAAAAAGCTACTTTGTTTAATTTGTTTCATTCAGCTTTTCTTGTTATTTTTATAGACTATATACTTCAAAGGCATTGAAGCAGGGAAGGTTCCTTATTTTCCTCATGCAGACAGCATCATCTATGCCATTTCTACATCAATATGCTTTCAAGCAGTAAGTATGTTGTCTTCTAACAGAATATGAAGTTCTTTTAGCTTAAGTCAAATGTTGAATGAAATGAGGAGTACAGGGATACAGTGATACAGAAAAGATAGTGTGAAGTAGTGGTTCCGGCAGGATGCTGTGAACTGGGGCTTCTGCATCCTGCTTTTGAGTGTCACAGGGGGAAGATCATTTCTAGGACTCAGATTTCTTATATGCTTATAGCTGATTACATTATACAAAGCATTGAATTCTTTGGAAAGGGTCTCAAAATGCATTGCCTGAGAAGATGAACATAAATCTATGGGCTTTCATAAGCATATGAATAGACAATTTCTCAAGGAGACAAACAATATATTGTAATATTTTACGCTTTTTTAATCAAATAGAAGTTTTCACTTTCAGCTAACTTGAATTCAAGTTGCCTGCTGAAACAATCCGCAAAAATTAGTAAGAAAATCTGAAGTTATATGTTGGAAACACACTGTAGTTACCATCTTTTGCACTTTGCAAGTCAGTTACGTGCCTTCACCCTCAGTCCTTTTGATGGCTGCATCACCTAGAAAAAAGCTCCTTTTTGGTGGTACCCAAATTACTCTACTATTCCACTACATCTCTCCATTTCTAGACCTTCTGCTGAAACATCCCACTGATGTTATGACCTCCATAAGTATATGTATTTTTTTTACCCCTCAATAAAGACAATATAAAATGACCCTAAAGCAGTCTTCTGCTGTCTTGCGCTTAACAGGACAGTTCCACTCCTTTTCCTCATTGCTCCCACATATTTGGGAATATCTCTCATTCTGGTATCAAAGTGAACTGATATTTTACTGCTTGGGATGTGCCTGAAGGTCTGCTGCATTGAAGTCTCCAAAATACTGCTGGCAAGGACCGTCGTATGAGGCTAACAGAAATAAAGTTAACATGAGAAAAGAGGAAAGGGTTTTTTCATTACTTAATAACTAGTTGGAAAAGGAGTCCAAGACTGGAAATAAATTACTAGGTTTAGGAGAGAGGAAGGAGGGGGAAATTAGCAAAGGGATCTATGCTGAGATGTTTGTTACTCCCTATATTCATAAGTGACCTGGAAAAGTAACGGAATAGAGAGAAGACAAGGATTTTGGTTATATAACATTATTTAAGATATGTAACATGAAAGTATAAAGATGACTGACTACAAGACATGGAGGATCACAAAATGCAGAGTGAGTGGGGGATAAAATAGCAGGTTAATTTGGCATGCACAAGTGCAAAATCATGCACATGGGAATAATAAGGATTGTTGTTGCTTTGTCTGCAACGACATCTAAGTTAATTGCCACCACTTTTGAAAGATAGTCTTCCAGGTGGTGTCTTCTGTGCCGGTGGTGGTGATGTAGAGCATCAAATTCAGTTGTGAATGGTTTGTCTACTGACAGCGCTGGACCTTGGCAGGTGATCACAGCTGCTTTCGGTCCATGAATCCTGAGATTATTTAAAAAAAAAATAAATAAAAAACAAACCTATATTTCTATAACTATCCTTTCACTGGTTTTGGCAACGTAATGTAGCAGATGAAGCTTTTGCCTGATGCTGTCAGCTGGCTTTGACAGGGTACTCTCCTTGCAGGCTGTCATGGAAGTTCAGAACCTGAGACCTTCATACTGGAAATTTCTTTTACGACTAACAAAGGGCAGGTATGTAATTGGGAGTATGTTACAGCTTGTCTAAACATGCCATTGATGACATTCAACTTCCTGTGTCATTTGCTGTCAACAGCGGAGCTACTGGAGTACGTATGAGCTAATTTCCTGAGTATTTACTTTGCTTTTCAAATGGTTTCCAGTCCACTTGAAGTTCTTTGCTGCTGAAGCGACACTGCTAGGTTTAGTCTAATGACAGGAGCAACGACTTAAATCTGGTTAAGTCTATTTAGCAGATCGGTGGTTTACCTGAAGGCTTTTTTTATCTTTCGTTCACTTGGAGGGTGGAATGCTTTCAGATTTCAGTGGAATATGAAGAATCTGGTAAACAACTATACAGGTTGAAGAAATCACTTAGTATGTACAGTGACTGACAACATGGTATTACTACATGTTTAAAAGCATGTCAGAGTATTTCCTAAGAATACTTTGAAGATTCAGTAGGTTTTTGTAGGACATCTATTTCAGCTGGGAAAGGAAATTTTTTTCTTGGAAAACTAATTGTCATGGTTTAACCCTAGCCAGCAACTAAACACCACACAGCCGTTCACTCACTCCCCCTGCCCCAGTGGAATGGAGGAGAGAACCAGAAGAGTAAAAGTGAGAAAACTCATGGGTTGAGATAAGAACAGTTTAATAATTGAAACAAAATAAAGTAAAATAGTAGTAGTAGTAGTAATAATAGTAGTGATGATAATAATAATATACAAAGCAAGTGATGCACCATGCAATTGCTCACCACCCACTGACCGATGCCCAGCCAGTCCCTGAGCAGCGATCGCTGTCCCCCGGCCAACCCCCCCCAGTTTCTCTACTGAGATATGGTATGGAATAGCCCTTTGGTCAGCTTGGGTCAGCTGTCCTGGCTGTGCCCCCTCCCAGCTTCTCACTGGCAGGGCATGGGAAGTTGAAAAGTCCTTGACCAGTGTCAGCACTGCTTAGCAACAACTAAACCATCAGTGTGTTATCAACCTTTATTCTCATGCTAAATCCAAAACACAGCACTATGCCTGCTACTAGGAAGAAAATTAACTCTATCCCAGCCGAAACCAGGACACTAATGAAAAATTTTCACTGATTATAACCATAGATTTACATTGTAGTATCTTACTGGATATTTTTTCTCTTATTTGCTGTGGGGATCTAAAATGCTTACCTTTTAAAATAGATTTTGCTGTAACTATACTGATGTACTATGTGACAGAAACAAGGCATACAAATTGTGATGTAGGTCAGTTTATGAATGGGATTATAAAAGGTAACGTTTGTTGTGACACTGAGCTCTCCAGACTATAAAAATAGAAGTGAAATCAGAGGCCAGTCCCTGGAGCATGTTGAACCTACACTCCCCATGGCACAGTACACTCTTAGCTGGACATGAGGAGACAGAATATGTTGCTAGACGTGGTGGGAAGCTTTCCTTGGGATGCCTGGAGGCAGTCTGCAGGCAACCTCTGAGGCTGTACAAACATGATACAGGGGATGATGTCAGCGCAGATGTCCAATTTTGGCTGCATTTTTCCCTCCTGTGCTAATCCTAAGATTGCTTTAGTTGAAAGAGAGGAGGGGAAAGAAATTCTATTCTGCTCATTTATTTTATCTGAAGTAAATCACTGTAATAGTAATTTTGACACTCTCTCCATAAAGGCAGATTCTTTTGACATTTCATAGGTCTTTCACTCAACAGTTCTGAAGACTAAAGAGGTGGATAATGGATTGTAACACCCATACAATTGTTATCCACATTTGGGCAGGCATGGCCAGAGTTTGTGAGAAAGAACAGTAGTAAATTTTGGTTTGAACTCTTTTGTGAAGTTAAAAGTAGAAGGGGACTCTCTCCTTTCCCCTTTTCCACAAGTTGTGTTATATAAAGTATATCTACTCGAAGCGCTATTAATCAGATTTGTCAGGTTTTTTTTTTTTAAATCTTTACTGCCCAAATTGAAAAACTTGTAGCCTCTAAAGA